CTTTTTTGTGCATATATGTCTGTATGTATGTGTAATCTGTGCCTCTGTGGTGTGTGAAATAAAAAAAATCATTCTGCTTAAGTCTAGAATTTCCATCAAAGGCAAGAGTTATTCTACGAAAATGCAACAGAATTCTAAGAAATCTTTTTAAATGTGCTGGGTAAAAGAGTAGGAGTAGGAAAACAGTTTAACCAACAATATACGTATTGCTTTTTAAATTAACTGAAAAAAAAACTTTTATGTGTTGTTTTTAGACATAAGCAATGTCAAATACCCAAGTTCAAGGCAGCGTAGGAGGCGAACACCTAATGCCAATAACATTTAAAACTTTATGTGGCTCTCAGTAATTACTTGTAAGACAAATGTGAAACAGGCAGCTAGAATAAACTCTCTATTTCTCAATAGTCTGTCACCTTAAATTACTTCTAGATGAGAGAACCTCAAATATTTCTTTATATATATGAAAGAATATGTATATTTCCTTTGTGTGCTCTATTTAGATAATTTATAATTTCTCTTGACTGTCTTTAAGTTTGCTAATTCTTTCTTATTCTTTGTTCAGTCTGCTATTAACCCCCTTCAACAAATTCTTAATTTATGATGCAGCAGTTTTCAGTTCTAGAATATTGATTTCGTCTCTTTTAAACAGAGATTGTATTTCCCTGTTGTAATTCTCCATTTTTTAGTCTGTTTGGCCCATTTTTCTCTAATTTTGACCATGTTTATAAAACTTATTTTACAGTTTTTATACTGTATGGCCAACTTAAAATTTTATACCAGAGTAGCTCTTTTGCTAAGTGTTCTTACCACAAACCATAAATAATATTAATAACAGGAGAAGAAGAAAGTTGGAGGTGATGGACATGTCTATGTCCTTAATGGTGGTGATGGTTTTATGGGGTATACTTTTCCCTGAACTCATTAAGTTGCATATATTAAATATGTACATCTTTTCCATGTTAATCATATCTCAATAAATTGGTTTAAATTATTAAAAGCAATGGAAAAGGATATCATTTAGTGAAAAATCAGAGATCCATCAAAAGTTTTCAAACACCAGATTTCTCTTGTGCCTAATTCTAACAACATCCTGTCTGCTTAACCTTCTAATACCCAACATTTCTACTGATTCCAACATCTGTGACATCGTGTGGAATGATCTACCGTATTTCCTCTTGGTGATGGTCATATTTTCCTACTTACTCATATGTCTTATAGCATTCTTTATTGTATATAAGACATTGTGTTTTATAATTATTGCAGAAAGAGAGTATTTTTTTTTAAAAGAAGACAAGCTTTTCACAGGATGATCACTTCTATCTAATCAGAGGTTGAGTTGGATCATGGTTTCGTTGCAGCTTTAGTAGATTTCTGTTGTGTTTGGGAGTGAAATCTACCTTATTTCTGTTACCAATACCTCCTTCCAGCCATTGTTCAGAATCTAACACTTTAAGGATACAAAGATATCTCTCCTCTCCACCCCTCTTTCTCTCTCTCTCTCTCTCTCCTCTCTCTCTTCTCCTCTCTCTCTCTCTCTCTCTCTCTCGTTCTCTCTCTCTCTCCATGACAGCACAGCCCACAGCCTTCTGCTCCCTGCATTACTGGAAACTCAATAGAAGTTTCACTGAAGAAACTCAGTGAGGATATTAGTTCTGCATCTGGGGGTTCTATAGATTCTAATCCATCATATCAGTCCAAAAATCTTTATAAGTTTTAATTATGAATTATAAATTTTAAATGAACTCGGCAAAATCTCTGCCTGAAAGGTCTAAGTCTCAGCCCACCCACACCCAGACTTGGCATCTCTGCATCCTAGAAAGGCCTCCTTCCTCTCAGAAATTTAGTTCCTTTAGTTTTTCTTGTATCCATAGCTCTTCAGCTATGTGTGTGTGTGTGTGTGTGTGTGTGTGTGTGTGTGTGTGTGTGAGAGAGAGAGAGAGAGAGAGAGAGAGAGAGAGAGAGAGAGAGAGAGAATATACCCATTGTGGCTAGTTGTTATGGAGAAAATGTGATTTCTTCTTCAAACTAAAGTGAAACTGACCTCAAATGTTTCTGAAGACAAAGAAAGATAGCATTCTAAGCCTAACAACAACAACAACATCTGTGGAGAAACTAAAATTTTATCTGGATTGGAGTTTGGGGCATGGAGTCATCCATTCTGTGGAGAAATTATAAATATTCGTATCTAATAGTAAATAACATATGCTCAGGTAATAAAATTGTAAGCAACAATTACCTATACCAAAGTCAGAAAACTATGGCCAATGGCTAAATCTAGGTGGCCTCGTGTTCATGTAAATAAAATTTTATTACAACATAGCCGCACTCATTTATTCATTATGTCCATGGCTGCTTTATAATATTAACAGCAAGAGGTGAGTAGTTACACAAAGACCTTGTGGTCCACAAAGTCTAAAATATTTATTATCTGGTCCTTAGAGAAAAAGCGTGCCTATCCTTGAGCTACACTGTCAGTAAACTGGGTCTATTTGTTTCTAGTCTCAATAGTGGTTTCCTTACTACCCTGGAAAGCAAACACCACACATGTTTGGCTTTTGTGATGGTAGCATTCTTCCTTTTGATACCAAATTGCTATTAGATTAAATCTTTGCTATCTGCTGACCTGATGTAATCAATGTGGTTATAGAGCCCTTAACTGTATCAAGATTTCTTTTAGGTTATGTAAAGCACAAAACAGATGTTCTTGATTCTACTCCAAGTAGTGATTTAAGAGCCAGGGTTCTTTCCATTTAGTGGTTCAGTCATCTGTGACCAGATGTTTCGAGGTGGTCAAAGTAGAGGAAAGGTCATGGGGAATAGTACTTTGAACATACCTGGAAGGGTGCCCATCACTTCTACCCACTTCTACCCAGTCCTATGGTCAGGACTTAGTCATATTCCTCAATTAACTGCAAGGGAGGCTAGTGATTATAGATTAGTTGTGCCCAAGAAAGAGAAAGAAAAAATGGATTTGGTGAAAAGCTAGCCAGTCTCTGCCATAGAGACCTTCTGCAGAGAGAACATGTAGAACATAATATCTAGTAAAATGTAGTATGGTGAAAGAAAGGAGTCAAAGATATCTTCTAATTTGCTATTATGGGAAACCATGTAGATGACTATGAATTGTGAGTGTTGGTGAATATATAAGGAGAAGCAATATGCCAGGGAGAAGAGGAGAACAATAAGAAAATAAAAATGAATTACAGCTTAATGTATGATTTAAAAAATATTTTAGGCCTTCAAAGTACAGAAGTCTAGCATGTATTTTGGAAATATAGGAGACATATGAAAACTAGAGCTATAACCTAGCAATACAGATTTTGGATTCTTCAAAATATAAACAATAATAGTAAAGGTCATGAGATTAACTTAGGACAGTATGTAAATAGGAACAGAGGACTATAAACAGAAACAACATTATGAATAACCTTATTACAAATTAATAGAGACATAGAGATGAGTAAAATATTCTTTACCTTCAACTTCAGAGTTAAATGGAAATAGTCAAGGAAATTATTGGTTACCTATTGTGTAATAAAAGCTATAAAAGATTCACAGAATGAACTAGAAGCTTAGAGGAAGGGCAAAAAGCATTCAATAAATGTATTGGCCACATGAATGACTTATATCCAAATATATCACACAAACAAGTATACTATTCCTTGATGGTACTTTTCAAATCTTCTTACGTCAATAGTTGACAAATCCTCTCATAATTACACAGAGGAGATGACTTCTTCCACTACCCCACAGTTACATTTATTAAATATTTACTTTGTGGAAAGTAACTCTCCGAAATATATATATTATTTCCAAACACAGAACAGAAAACTGGGGTAACAGAGAAATTAGCTAACTTGATATGGGAAACCTAAGTCTGTCACTCTTTTTACCATCCCATAATATGTCCATTTGTTCTTTTTGCAGAATAATTAGAAATACAAATATGACTTTCTTATTGGTTACCCAGTAATTAACAGGAAAGTGAGAGCTGGTGCCATGGACTTAAATAGACAGCTATTATTTTATGGAAAATTAAGAAAATCCTACCAGCATTTGTTAGCAGTCAAACATAGAAGCACAACTGAATAATCACTGTTATAAAATACTTAATTTTTGGAAATTTACCGCAGACTGATAAAATTAGAGAATTTTTAAAGCAACACAGCTTGAAAAGCTTCCATACATAACCAATGAGTCTTAAAGAGAAATTTTGAATGGCATTAGCCACATTGTATTTAGTGAATGATGTACTAATTATAGTAAGCTATTTATCTTTATAGATATATTATTGAAAATTGATGAACATGTAAATTTTACAAAGAATTCTTATATCTTTTTAATATTTTTCTTTATATTTCAATTTTTCTACCATTAGTATGCATTAAATAGATGTAAAGTTAATATATATGACTTCTGTATACTTTGTGATCACAATTATATAATTATATGCATACTTTCTTGCTTCTTTCCTTTCTCTCTCTCTCTCTATCTCTCATCTTCACCTCCAAATATATGCAAAAAAGGCAAATACATTAAAAATAAATATACACAGATTTTACAATCAAGGAAGGTGATAAGAATGTTTAATTTACTTTTTATAGTTTATAGTTTTATAAGTTTTATAAGAACATGAATCACTGATACAATAACAAAAACTTTATTTTGAAAAAAATTCAGAAATTGTTTTAACAAAATAAACAGAAAATATAATTAAATATATGAAAGCAGGCAATGAAAGTAATCAAATACATAACATCCTATAAAAGTCAGCAGTAGGGGTAGAAATTACTATGTTAAGGTTGGCAGAGAAACTGAAAATAGCTTACAGATTTCTATACTCAGAGAGGATATACAACAGAATGTAAGTGGTGACTTTGCAATAATGCCTGCAATAAATGAAGTCAGTTTTAATTGTTCCCTGGGGATCTGAATATATAAGAAACCTTTCGAAGGGGCTAAGTCAATTTGATTTAAGTTAAATTATGACCAATAAGAGAAACATTTAAACTATTCTTTATATTTTTATAAGATTTACATATAAATCCATATTGTAGAATAGTTCTTCTTCCAGAGTATCATTACAAATTCCTTCAGCTAAAAATAATAGCCATAATTTAAGATGATCATATGATGTAATCTGGCATTGGTTCATTTTGTCATCCATTAGGAAATACGTAGGGTAAACCAGTTTTCACAATTGCAACTTTTGCTTTAATGTCTTGATATCTTTCACAGGCTTTTTGAAAGGTAATCATATCAATAACAAATTTTTCTTCACAGTGTTTTTTATATATTTCTTCAGCCCTAAGAGGAAAAAGAAAGGTCATAGAATTTAGATATGTTTAAATTACTAACATTATAGTCAAATGGGAAAATGAACTCTATAGAATTTGGTTATATCATTAAATAATATTCCTTTTGGATTAATATTTATAAGACTTCTATTGGGCAGAACTGAGAAATCATACAAACCTGTCTTAGATTCCCAAAGAAACATCTAAAACAACCCTATGTCAGGATTTGCAGAATTTCTACTTAAACCTAACTAAATCCAAGCTTTGTCTAGGACACATTTATGGATTGAATGTATTCACCCAAAATTAATATGTTAAAGTCCTAGTGTCTTAGGATGTGACTGTATTTGGAGACAGGGCCTTTAAGAGGTTGTTAAAGCTAAGTAAGATCATATGGGTAGGTCCCATTCCAATATGATTAGCATTAGTGCCCTTATGAGAAGAGGGATAGATACCAGGAATGCAACTGTACAGAAGAAAGGCCAGGTGAGGAAACAATAGAAAGGCAGCCATCTAAGAGAAAAGCCCCAGAGAAACCAAACCTACTGATACTTTGATCTTAAACTTCCAGCTTCCAGCTCCTAGATAGGAGGGGGAAGGAAAGCAAGAAAGGCTTTAGAGTTAAAATAAGTTTTGAAATGAATCTCTAAAAAGATGTGTTTCCAGGCAGAATGTGGGAGGAGGAGCATTTTGTCAAAACTATTTTATGTTGCACAAACAGCCAAAACAAAGGCCGAAAGGATGGCACAGGTTGGCATGCTCTAAGGAACTGATATCCTTCTAATTGGGACATACAGTTTTAGAAAGTAGAACAGATAAAAGCCTGGAGAAACCAACTGAGACAAGATCATGGAGTAATTTATTTATATGTAGGTCTACTCAGTCTGGACTTGAGGAGTAGAAGAAAGGCTTAAGACTAGAAAGCCTGCAATTTACTGTGTGATTTGGACATGTTTTTTTGTGTGTGTGTTCTTTCTATCTCATTTTCCTCATCTTTACAGAGAAAATTCAACTCACAGGGTTTAATAAAGGACTAAATGAGTTAATACATTTACCTTCTTAGAGAAATGCCTGGCATTTAATCATTACTTTTACTGGATGGATGATAGTGGCATTCATCATAATAGGAAATGTAGGGAGAGTGAACAGATGGGAAAAAAGATTAGAGTTCTGTTTTAGTAATGTTGGGCTTAAAAAATCTGGTTGTCTATGTGATCACACCCAGGGAATTGAATAGAGAGAAGCAATGGCTTGTTGTTAAAGTAGAGGTAGTAATGCCATTCTGCTTGAGTTTAAAACCCAGCTCTGAAACTTACTGATGGTGTGATTTTGGACTAGCTGTTTAAGCTCTCTCTGCATTCTTCATCTTTATAAAGAAGATAATCCAACTCATAGGGTTTATTAAGAAGTAAGTAAGCTAATTAATTTAAAATTCTTAAAGGAGTGCCTGGCATTTAATAATCACTCAATGAAAGTTAGTTATTCCTAGAGTAGAAGGTTGAGTTAAACTCTTGAGAGAGAATAAATGATTGAATATGGGGAAGAAACAAATGGGGAAGAAAAAAAAAATATTTAGCTACTCCTAACATGAGTCTAGAGCTCGGGAGAGTAGTCATGTCTGGGCAGAATAGAAATCATGGGAAAAGGGATTTTACACATGTAATTAAGAGTATTAATTAAGTCTAAGAAGTATATTTAAATAGCTTTCCTACAGATAAGAATTTTAAACTGTGGACAAAATATAAAGGGAAGTACTATTTAATATAATTGGAGGAAACTAGGTAAAGGAAATGAATGATCTCTCTGCACCATCTTTGCAACTTCTAGTGAATCTATAACTACTTCAAAATAAAAATTAAAAAATAAATCTAAAAAATAATTGAAGAGTGATAAATATATAATAATCAATTGTATTTATAAGCACCAGCATCAAATAATTGGAAAATGAAATCAAGAAAGCAATTCAATTTAAAATATGATCAGAAAAGCATAAAATACTTAAACATAAATCTAATAAATGATATGCAAGGACTATACCTAAAAATAATAAAATATTGTTGAAAGAAATTGAAGGTTAGCTAAATTAATGAAAAGTTATACCATGTTCAAAGATTATAAGGCAATATTATTACGATGTCAGTTCTCCCCAAATATATTAATAACTATAGATTCAATGTAATCCCTATTAATATGCCAAGAATCTTTTTGGTAGAAATTGATAGTTAAATTTGTTCTCAACATATGTTAGGTTTAATTTAGATTTATTTTAAATGTTTAAGTTAATTTTAAATTTAAATTTTAATTTTAAAATTTTTTTAAATTTATTAAACTTTAAATTGATATAGAAATACAAATGTCTTAGAGCAACCAAAACAATCTTGAGAAAAGGAAAATGACATTAGCATCTCTATTTTGTATCTTGTATAACAAAGTACCATAAATATATTGGCTTACACAAAGGCCTTATGTTACTGATTTTAAAGATTACAAAAATCATAAGTGGAGAGATTATTAGCTTTTAACAGGGAAATGTATACCTAATCATGAGACTGTAGAAAAGGAAGTTAGGGCAAATGTATAATATATAGAATTGTATAGATATGTATATAGAAAGTTAAATAAATTAAAGCTTGAAGGCCTAAAATTTACTTGGGAAACAGATAAAGTGGCTTGTTAAGAAGGAGAGGCCTTAAGTATTGTTTAAATAAAAAGCTCTACAGTTGGAGAAGGTTTGAAATTGCTCTTGTAGTTAATGGGAGAATAAGCATGCAATGGAAGGAGCAGCTAAAAGGTGGAGGCAATAAAATTAATATTGGCATAAAACTACAGGTCAGTGACTTCTTTTAGTGATTTTTATCTGAATATAAGACAAATACAGATCGCTGAATTGGTCTAAGGTAGGGTTGCGAGGGGAGGGACAGCTGGTTAGTATAATGGAAGAAATGACAGGAAAGGACTTCAGAAACACTGACAGAATGGACAAAAGAATAATTGCATTGAAGAACCCTGAAGCCTACACTAGAAATGAAAAGTGTATAAAGGTATTTATGCAAGGGATAGGTATCAGCATATATTTGAAGAATATGTGTGGTGAAAGTAAAACAAGAAAGGAGTTGAAGAGATAGAAGATTTTAACTGTAAACACATACATAAGAGTTTAAGATTTAAGAGATGGGGCAGTTCCAAGTGATGAGAAGGTCTTTATGAGTCTATGGAAATGAGTTTTTTAAAGTTAGGTGGCATAAAGTTTGCTAGAATACAAAAATGTTGGTGTTAGGTAATTGGGAGGGTCCTTCTTAGGAATTTGGAAGTTAGCTATGATTATGGCAGAAGTTTGATGGAGAAAAAAATCTTTATAAATCAGGATATAAAGACCATAGTGAATGAAGAAAGTGGTATAGGTCAATCAAACCTATACCACTTATTTTCTAGATCTTAGAAAATCTTATTTTCTAGATCTTCCATGCTGATGCTCAACTTAATATGGACACCTGCTGTTCTGTATTAAACAGTAATATCACTTTCTCAGAGTACAGACAAGAATATCTTGGCTTTTGTCTGATATATAGACTCTTTCATTCCAAAGTCTCTCTTAAATTCATACTTAAATACTCCTGTGGGTATTTTATTGACTTTCTAAACTAGAATTTTATGGTTCCCCTTTATTCCTTTATTCTTTTTTTAAAATTTTATTTATTTATTTATTTAATTTAAACTATCCTCCATTCTTTTTTTTTGAGGCAGAGTCTACAGGCATGCGATGCCATGCCTGGCTAATTTTGTCTATATATTTTTAGTTGTCCAAATAATTTCTTTCTATTTTTAGTAGAGATGGGGGTCTCGCTCTTGCTCAGGCTGGCTTCAAACTCCTGACCTTGGCCATCTTCCCACCTCGGCCTACCAGAGTGCTAGGATTACAGGAGTGGTCCCCCCGATCCCTCTTATTCCTTTATTCTTCATTCCACAGCAGCATCAGGGAACTACGTTCTCAGAAATGACTTCATTAGTTATTGAAATTCATTAGAGTGATTTTAGGTCAAGTGAATGAAGATTCAACAAGAGAGAGATGAGATTCAGAGGAGAGTTTTAAGAGCAATGAGATAAGATGATGGACAAGGAGTGATTATATAAAGGCATGAAATAGAAAGGGACAGTAAGGATGACCCACAGGATCAGTTCTAAAAAGGAAAGATTATAATTTTAGATTGGAGCTTGTTGAGTTTGAGTGCCATGGTGGAACATTCTAAGTAAAACATGTACAAGATAATTAGAAATATATCTGCAGCTAGGACAGATGCTGTTAGGACCTGTTAGAGCATTGGTGATGTCAAAGACCATGACTCTACCATACTATGAATCAGGAAACATATGGATGTGAAGAAGTCTATAGGTGGAAAAATGATGTCATAGTCTGTTCCAAGATGCTACAACAAAAATACCATAGACTTGGTGGCATATAAACAACAGAAGTTCATTTCTCACAGCTTCTGGATGCTGGAAATTCAGATTAAGGCACTGGAGATGCCTTGTCTGGTGAGGGCCTGCTTCCTGGTTCATAGATGGCATCTTCCTTGCTATTTTCTTTACATGGCAGAGGGGGAACTCTCTGGAGCCTTTTTTATAAGGGCATTAATCCGTTTATGAGCTCGTCCCACATGTCCTAATCATTCTTAAAGACCCCACCTCTAAGTATGATCACTTTGGAGATTAAGTTTCAATATATAAATTTTGTTTGTAAACCTTTAGTTTACAAAACATAAGAATGCCAACATTTAAGAATAGAAGTAAGAGAGGAAAAAAAGTCAGAAGGGTATGGAAGGATATGAAGAACAACATGTGTCATGGAAGTTGAGGGGCAAAAAGATGTATCATAGAGGGAAAAATGAATTGTATTCAATGCTCTTCTGCAAATTCCATAAAAACAGGCTGAAAGATATTGATTTGATTAGAAATAGAGATTATTTGTTGAAGATGTTTTCATTACGGTGATATAAAGGATGAATGTATTGA